CAGTGCACGCTAACTCACAAATCAAACCTTGACATAACCCCTGGGCTGATCAAAGTCAGTGCACGCTAACTCACAAATCAAACCTTGACATAACCTCTGAGCTGATCAAAGTCAGTGCACGCTAACTCACAAATCAAACAAAGACCAAATGAATAAATGCTGCTCAAGTGATGTCAAGTCAAGGAATCGAACCCGAGGCCGCAGAGGCGAGAGTTAGTCCACAAGAGTGCATACAATACATCCGTGAAAAGGTTAACTCATAAAATTGTACAAATTAGTGCAAAGTTTTGTAGGTCTATGCTCTACTGAGGTCTAATGAACTTACTAATTTGTGCAATGTTTTTACAGAGTTTTTCACAGATATGTGGTATGTACTCTACCATAAACAAGGCACATATATCATGTTTTAAAGATTTATTTTCAGTTTACCTTCCATTCTTTCTGGGAGAGTGTCTGACTCCTTCAATGCGCCTTGTTTCGAGTCCCTAAGTACAGAAGCCACGTTACCAGTGGCAGTAAAATCCACTAACGCGTCCAGCAACCAAAAACAATCTGTAAAGTAACAGAACAGCAATAAACCACAGGAATCCCGAATGTGTAGACTTTGACAATATTACGACACGGTCACAGAATTATCATATCCGTAAACCAGTTGCAGGACGCGAGACGTGTGGTCTTTACATTCGAATGCTTTGACACTGTGCCACAATAATTCGCAGCATGACGCGACACGGCACGGCACGGCATGACACGGCAGGGACATGATTTTCAACCCCTCCCCTCCCTCCTGATTCATCATTCTTAAGGCGCAAAAAGCAACTCTTAAGCAATCAGTCAGTAACATTGCTTAAATTTCCAGTGACATAGGCGGTAAAGCATGCAGGGGTGCATCCTCCACCCCCACCTCCTCCCTACCCCACTTTTTGGGGTATAAACATAAATTCGCATCAGTTGTTACGAAAGTGATGTAATTAGACACACATGAACAACGTACAAGAAAAACAGCAACATTTTCATTGAATTTATCGACGTATGTAGGGCCGTTCTACTTTGGGTGTTTTGACTGAAAATTGTGAGTACGCTGTTGTTTTAAGATTAATTCGAGAAAGGTGGTGATTAGGCACCGCTTTTCAAACCGCTCTACCGCCTACGTTATAATTAACTATTAGACCCGCAGTCCTCATGGTCTACGAGTCATTAGCCCACGAGGTCCAAGGCTGAATGGGCTTTTGACTTAAAGTGCAAATGAACCCTTTGACAATACATTCAGTACTGGTTCTGCATAAAGTAAATAGTTGATTGGTAAAATATTTCTTGATTTGAGTGATGCG